CTGATGTTGTGGAACACGAAATAGGAAAGAAGGATATGTAAAAAACAATAGTATGAAACTTTTCCAGTTAGTTTCTGGTTAGTTAAAACCAGAAACTAACTGGAAATATTAATAAGTCGACATCATCTCGTAAGTGACTCATCATACTCTGGTTCGCTGCGGATGATGGGGCGTGTCCGCGATCGCGCTTGGCGCTGAGCCAACCTGTTTTTTTCGACAAACGACTACCATATCGTTCGTATCAGACGTTTTCCAGCAGTTGGTCTCCTTTATCGGAATCATTGGCGGAGCACGAATCTGGCGGCGTCGACAGGGACACGCTCCATCATACGCAACGGAAAACACTGTAAACAAGTGCGTAGGTTGGCCATGGAACTCCCTGAATCCTGTAAACACATCTGCTCGTGTAGACAGGCATTGCGTGGAACTGCACCATCCCATTACCTCTGCGTGGGAGCCTAGGCATGGCGCATCCACAAATGAAGCTAATGCTAAAACACCTACTGCTTGCTCCTATTCCACGAAGGGATGCATTCCAGATGCATTTCTGGATATCCGAGTACGCTCGCTTGAAACGGTACACAGAAAACGGATTTTGAGCAGCTCGGAGTGCTCCCTAATAAATCCCCAACGCAATTATCTCATGAATCCCGGAAACTTCAGAAAAAGTTCAAGTAGTTTTTGAAAAGAGGAAATCTTCTAGTATTCGACACTAGTTTCAGATTTGCAAATAGTTGAGTTTTGAAGGCAAAGCCCGCGACCACAGATTGTGGGTAACGGAACCCACATAGGAACGAAAAAGGGCTAGGTATCTGATTAGCGGAGAAAAGCAGCAGAAAATGCCCTAAATAGGATTCCATATCGACCCCAACTTGTACATGCATGCAATGAAGAAAACGCATGTTTGTACGAATTTCCACTCGTCGTTATCATAAAGATATCAGCTCTTTTATCGTATCACCTCACTCTCACCATTCGGAATGGAGAGAGATAGCATAGTGGCTACTAGCTAGTAGCTAGCAGCCGGTGGGGGTCGGCATGGGCCTAAGGGGCGCCCTTGGGCCTAATTGGTTAGCTTGAAGCGGAATTCTTGCGGATTTTCACTTTCTAAAGGTAGCGCAGCCTCCGCAATCTCCTTCCGGATCGTCTGACACATTTGAAAGGTCATAGCCTTATTTTATCGCGGAAAGTGCCTTTAAGGAAAATATCTTCGTTCAAACCAGGACAGTCTGCATGCATCCTCAATAGATCCCCAACCTGAATTTCTCTCTGAGTTTGGCGACCTTCATCAAACATTTCAGTACTTTTCGGGAAGCTCGAACCTTTTTTCCACTTCTACGCAACTGCGTTTCCTCTTTCCCACAGGTCCGCCTTTGAGGAAGTTATGGCCCTTCAAAGACAAGTTGTTTTCCTGGAAAAACGCGCCCCATTCCAACCACCTTGCGGCGTTGGTCCTGCCCAGAATCCCTTCCAATCGATTCCTCGGCCGTTTTCCAGCTGATTGCGGCTGTTCCTGTGTCCTTTTTTTTTTTTTTTTGTTTTCTAATGAAGATATTCTCTCCCACTGGTGGGCCAAGCGATTAATCCGTATCAAGACGTTGTTCGCCATTTCGGAATTTCTGTATTTCTCCCAATTCCGCTTCTTTCTTAAATCGATACATATACGTTGTACTGTCCGCAGTTTCGTCTTTTCTTCCAAGTTGTCAAGCATGAATGCGACCTTAGGCTTTGTAGGGTGGGGGGGGGGGAGGATCAGCACATTCGCTATTTCACATCCTCGTATTCATTGCTTCACAAAAGTTGACAGGTATTCCTCCAAACTTTGAGTGGTATCACTTTATGCCTTTACAACTTAGAGCCGTCATATAGGTATGCCTAGCTCGAGCTCAAAAAAACAAACAGTGAAAAACTCCCTTTTTTCACTGTTTGTTTTTTAGGGGGAGGGGGTCGTACCGAACCCCCAAAAAGGGAGGGGAGTCATACGGGCTCAACCAAAATCCCCAGCTAATGCTGTGCCCTGTCATGCATAGCCTTCTTGCTGTAGATGCTGTGGCATGTTGGAAGGACGTGGGGGAGACTGGCGCTTTTTTTACACCAGTTATTACCGCTTGCCCTCTTCGACAATGCCTCTGACACTTTATGTTTACAGAAACTTTGATAGTTTATACCTCATTCGATGTTCGTTGATTGTCGGCATCCTCGAGATATCTCTGGTATGAAGTCGCTTGATCTGGCTCGATACAACACACCACACGATTTACCTGATTTGAGAGAATGATACTTTTTGGGACCTTGAGATGTCTAGAATTTCTCTATTCTATCTTTTCTGTGAAGCAGAAACACTCGATTTCGCCTTCTCACATTATCTTTCTGAACGGTTGAATAGCACGAGCGAGTCAGGAGATCTGAGCAGGGCAAAAAATTAGCTAACGTCATGTAGCACTTTATACAGTCTTGTTCGCTACGTCCGCTAAGGCGTGCTGAGCGGGCTGGATTGGTGCGTTTCCACCAACTGTGGTCGCCCGCCAGCTTCCACAGTTGGTGGAAAACGTGGTGGCGCCACGCCAAACCCAGAACGCGTGAAATGCCTCAGCATCCAGCGAACAAGCTGCAGCTAAATCGCTTCACCGTAGCCCTTTCATGTCGAACTTATGGTTCTAATGACGCGCATGCGACTCACTTGTGACATCGCTATTGGTGCGCCGCTGCTCTCTTCCTGGTTCGCACCCAAATATGACCAGATTTCTTACCAGTTTTGCTGCTAGGTAGAACCGATGTGTGGGAGCAATCGTTCGTTTCACTCGGCTTAACGCCACACATGCCAGCGTCATCAAGAGACTGAATGATGACATCGCAAAGATCAGCTCATAATACGAGTCTGGAATCAGTATTTCGGCACCGTTTATAGATCGAGACTGCAGTTAGTACAATCCGCCAACAGGGTCAATTGACAACATATCGATTTGCATTTGATCGTCTTACTTGCAGCGACTGCAGCGTAATAGGCGGAGGAGCGGCATCAACCAGCCGGTCTTTTCTTGGCTCCCACCGCTACCCCGCAGATCACTATCAACCGGATCTATTACTGCGTTTATATTATCTCCCTTATCTTCTAAGACGGGAGTGGCGCGTGGCATTTGAAATGGCATACGAATGGTTAAGATGGCGATATTTAATTCAAGACACTCGTCACATCAGCAGAGATGATACCTGGCAAATAATATCTCAGCAATGAGCACAGCAAACCGCTACATTTATGGTTGAAGTATGACGCGCAGCCACGCCTACCAGCATCCACATGGATTTCGATTGTAGCATAGCGACGTGGATAATAGAGAGATGGCATGGACGCAAAAAGTGTAGTTAATCAATTTGGGCGATGGAGAAAGATGCGATTCAACCACATCATCTCTCCTATTGTGTTTTCCTACTCACTCCTGATTCCGTATCCTATTTACGCTTGATTTCCAATTCCTTGTAAAGCTCGCTTATCTTGTGCCAGTAACGGTAGCTGCGACCGAATTCGATCGTTTCCCTATCGGTCCTCTACGCGCGCACTCTCCTATTCCCTGGATCTTCTTGTTTCCCGACCCACTAGATGGATTCTCACATATGCTGTCCTTTGCACACCTTCTCCTACTCCTCACTGTCGCAATAAGAACGCGACCCGAATCGCTTCATTATTCTTGTGGTTGCGAAAATTGCTTATATGCTGTGATCCCACCCACCTTTGCAATAAAGGCGTGTCCTAAGGCTGGTGAAAATTTCTTAAGGCACAACCCTCCCTTCTTTCGCATATATATAGGTTGTCCGGAAAGTTCTCAGCGTTTTGGGTGTTTCACTTTAAACGATCGTAACTTTTTTAATACTCATCGGATTTAATCGAAATAGGCACCATTCGAATCAGCACACTTTTGCCAATGTGACAGCAGTCGAGAAATCCCATAAAATAAAAAACTGGGTGGTCGAAAATTCACGAAATCCACGAAGGCTTTTTTGCCTGGTCCTGTTTGATGAAGTATTTCCCAGCAAGGAAGTTCCGAAAATGTTTGAAAAGGTGATAGTCGGTTGGTGGAAAGGTCTGGAGAATATGGCGGTTGAGGTAGAACTTCAACCCCCAATTCGTTCAATTTATGGATAGTGATTTGTGAAACGTGTGGGCGGGCGTTGTCATGCAAAGGAATCGGACCCTTTCTTTTGATAAGTGTTGGCTGCATCTGACAAAATTTTCGGTACAATTCGTCGATTTCTTCACAGTAGGGTTCTGCTGTGATGGTTTGGCCTGGTGATAAAAAGTTATAGTGGATCACACCAGCCGATGACCACCAAGCCGTGACCAGAATCTTTTTTTCGTGAGGGTTCGGCTTTGAAAATTACCTCGGTGGTTCGTCGAAATCCAACCACTGTCCGGAACGTCTCCTGTTATCATACATGACCCATTTTTCATCACAGGTGACAATTCGGCCCAAAAACAGGTCGTTTCTGCTGCGCAAAAGCAATGCAGAAGGAACCTCGAGACGTGCCGATTCCTGCCGGTCACTCCGATTGTGGGGCACCCAATTGTCGAGTTTTTTCACCTTCCCAATGCGTTCCAGACCATCTGCAACAGTGGATTTGCCAAGGCCTAGCTCTTCTGCTATCTCTCGAACTGTTTGGGATGGGTCAGCCTCCAAAATCCCCCTAAAATCCTCGTCAGATATTGCTTTTTAGGTTCGACGGCGCTATGAGGTTCATCTTCAAGGCTGAAATCTCCAGAACGAAATTTGTTGAGCCATTGCCGCACAGTGCTTTCTCTAGCACTATTGGGCCCCCACACCTGGTTAATTTGTTGAGCTGTCTTCGATTGCGGATTGACCCACTATTTAGTCGAAGGAAAATATCGTCCGAAGTTGATCTTTTGACATGCTTGAAAAAAATCTCAAAATAGGGGTTTATCGAAGCAATGGTGAAAACGGCATATTAATACCATCAATAGGCGCAAAAAAATTCTCAGGATGTGCTACTGAGAAGCAAGGCAGAATGAGTTTTTAATCAGCAGTGAATGTACAAAAAATAGGTGCACAAAACGCTGAGAACTTTCCGGACAACCTAATACCTATGACCGTAACCGAATTCTCTAAACTTCCTACCGATTTCCGCCAATTTGCCTGTTGAAGTAGAGAGAGAGAGAGAGATGCGACCACGGAAAAACTAATATTGAAAATGTATAAATTCAAATTATCGAAAGCTGTAGTTGTATAAGACAAAAGGACTTGGAGGTGTGCGGGGAGGGCGGTCTCCACAAAATTGGGGACAGAGCGCCTGAAACTAGTAATCAACGACCAAAAAAATTTTCTGAGATTAAATACGAGCCCCACCTCCCGCGCCAAGCATGACCCCCCCCACTAAGGAGCCGACCGTTTGGCGCGGCTGGATTCCCCTTGGACGTATCGGCCGTAATTGCCATCCACACTCCGCGGATTTGCGCCACTCCTCCCCACTGGGACTCCCCAGCGTTCGACGTGCCCTCGTTGTGATCCACACCACATTTTTGAGTTTCCCCGTTGGTGAATATTCTTACAGTAAAACTCACATAATTTCGGTCTCATACCAGCGAAACCGTTTGGTGGCGAAATCGAGCAGAGGTAGATGAAGCAAATTGTTTGTAAAGAGAGTATAAACAATTTTATGTAGACTTGTGTGCGCAGATCGCCGAACAGCGGTGATACCTGAATTGGATTGAAATTGTGACCTTCGTGATCACGGTGTGAGGCGAAAGAACCCGTGCGACGACGCACAAGCTTGCAGCATACGCGAAGCAGTTGTGCGGCAACTGGGAGTGGTGCTATTCACAGGAAAGTCAACCGTTCAAACCTCTACACCAACTGCGCTATTATTAGCTCCGATGTGTTGCTCCAGCAGCTTTCCACACTTCTGCGCAAATGTTCCACGCAAGAAAGCGGTCACTGTGCGAAGAGTCGGGCAACATAATAATCGTAATTTACCGCGCGTGGGCGGTGGCGCCCACAGTCTAGATTAGAGTAGTAATCTATGTGAATGGTGGGGGGGGGGGGGCAAAACTCCATGCCGCATAATATCTATCTTTTTCGTTAAACTTCCAGTTCAAAGGGCCGAGTATAATAACTCGTCTCTAGCGTGCACGATGTCGCTGTCCTCGCCCACTACGACATATTGCGCTTAGGTTGCCCCATGCCCCTGCCCTCCCCCCAAGCTTGAGCGACTTAGCGCGGCAACATAAAGCCTCCATCCATTGGTATGGGGATCGCTATTAAGTGTTAGCGTGACTATTCTCAGCATTAGCATAGATGGGGAAAAAATGGGGAAGTATAGGCCACACCAAACTCCCGCGTCTGCCTCCTGTCTACGACACATTGTTTGGTGATTTTGGATGACACTGCCGTGGACAAAGACAGGATTGCGATGACGACTGCCTCTCCCGCTAACTACCTAGGCACTGATTGGTAGTAAAACCACTCACCAGCATAATAAGTGTCGCAATAGTTATGGGAATCTTCAGCGCCATCCGTATCGTACTCATCTTTTTCTCGGCATGTACGCACACTTTCAATACCTCAAGAGACTGTATACCAGCCAGATGCGTGACTTCGACAGTGTGTTCCTTAAAAAAGCCTCGGTCCTTCATTGTTCTTTTATCATTCACAACACTGGATTAGTCCAGAAACGTACATCAACAATCCAGGCCGAATGTTCATCGGCTAGTGTAGACAGCCCTTTTACTCGATCATAGAGGTTCTGAACAGCAACCGGCCGATTTATCTGAAAATATCACATTCTTGAGTTATTTTATCCATATTTGTTTTCACACAGCAGAGAAGGAAAGTGCAGTCGTCATCCGGGCAGTTGATTAGGCGGTCAAAGGGTCGCGACGCGGCTGCGGCGCGTCACGACCGCGGCGATCAGCTGTTTCCAGCCTGGTTTAGCCATTTTCTCCCTAATTTTCACTGTATTTTCTATTTTTTCCAAGGTATCAAGGTATTTTGTGTTATTGCCCTTTATGAAGTGTATTAGGACGTGAGTTCTTTTATGTTTTTGTGGTGAAGTGTTTTTGTGTTTGATTTTGTTGAGTTTTTTCATATTGTTATGTTTTATTGTTTAATTATCGGAAAAACTAGAGAAATGCTCAATGCGGTGGATTTATCTTGTGAAGACAGGACAACGAACCTCAAGGAAAGCAGCTAAAAACAGTGAAAATCAGGGAGAAAATGGCTAAACAAGGCTGGAAACAGCTGATCGTCGCGATCTCGACGTGCCGCGACCCTTGTCGCCTAATGATGCCAGATGAGATTAGTATGTTTCGTCATCAATCAGTTCTTGAGATGCGAGGGGGGGGGGGAAAGGGGCAGGGTTTTGCATCCTCTTCTCCACCGATTTTTGGAGCGGGCGACATTTCCTACACCTTGGTGGAGAACGAGCTCACGTCGCCCCCCAGAGAGGACCCAGCGTCTAGGCTACACTAGTGATCGTCGATGAACAACTAGTGCGCATACTTTAAAATGCGTTTGTAGGCCTTTAGCTAATCGAGGAGTGGTTGAAGGCTTCGCTGTCCGCGATTAGACGGCGCCTGCTCCAAGACATAACCACAGGACCGTGGAGGAGAAAGCCGTAATTGTATTATAATTTGGCGTCTATTTGACGCCAATGCCTCTTTCACAAAATCACGCTAGGGAAGAGCGATTGGAAAACAACTGAACAAGTGAGAGACGGTGAGTGCTGGGAGGTGGGGGTGAGGGGGTAGCGGGTCGAAGAGGTAGCTCAATTTAAATTTCACTCGCGTTTTTAGAGGGAGTTATAGGAATCTTCAGCGATTCGTATCGGAGGCAAGAGTAAACACCGTCCTTTTGTGCTTTGGACTTGCATATTGCTCCTACACGGTGTCTTCATACGGCATTTATTCTTTGCGTCTGTGGCCAATTTTGGGCAATACAAGAAGCCGCACAACTTGATGTACGACGTTCCCACCAATTTCACAACAAACTAAGCCAGTCACATTAAGAATATATCTTTACTCGCCCGCTGCCGTAAAAACTGCTAGCTATTTGTGCTCATCAAGGTGGACTACTCTTAGTTGCGGACTATAAAATACTTTTGGTGAATTCTAAGTTTGCACGAACGCACGTAGCTTGATGGCATCTGCGCGACAAGGCGCAATGCCTTAACTTGGAGGGGGAAGGAAGGGGGGGGGGGGGGTGGGATTTTGCACTTTTTGCTAGTTCCTTTCAATAGTTTTAACGGCATAACTAACAAACAGTTCACTTTGGTAAACTTGTGAATCTGCCTGAGCCGCGAAATGGTAGCAAAGTGAGTAACTTCGCGTTGCAAGGACTTACAGGTTTCGAAATGGTGCTGAAGCAAGTTTTGCAGGGTTATCACTTGGTGCCCCCACCGAGGCGAGTTGCACCCCGAAAATTGCTTCATGCTCGTAATCAGTGAGCTTAGCAACTCTCTTCGAGCGCCGTTTCAGGGTTTCTGGGATTCTGGATTGCATTAGGCTATACTCCTATCTGGGAGGGGGGGGGGGGGGGCGGGATAGGCGTGGCTATCGAAGCATGGGCACGGAATGATATTCGTGGGATATTTTAACCTGAGACAACGCCATCTTGTTCCTTGTTGTACAGAGACGTGAACACATTTGGGTCAAAATGAAAATATCTCTCCAAGGATTAACCACACGACGTTTTTTATTGAATGTACGCAGCCGCTATCTCATCGACAGGGATTTCGAGTGTACTTGAGCTGACAAATGAATGGATTCAAGCTGTGTATATAGAATGTCATGCCATACTAATGCAGGCTACGTTGCCGATTTCTTTAAGTCTCGTCAGTAAGAACATTATGTCCTATTTTGGCCTCAGACATATTTCTTCGGTAAAAGTTGTTCTGGTTGGGTTGCTAGGCAGTTAGCTAATATACGGCGTGATTACGTTTGATTCACCTGCTGTCGCCGGTGCGTAATTACGGCGGAATGTACGTAGTAAGTTTTATGGAACGAAAAAAAACATTATAAAGGTGCTCAGGCTCAGGCCTGTTTGCTTGAGTGAGGCCTAAGTGGTATTCAGTGCAGCTTGTCCAGGCCTTGATTGAAAATTCCAATTCTTCACGAGGAAGAGTGCTCACTCGCCACTTCGCAGGATATGAACAGAAGTAGGAGGTCTCAGCCAACAGTGACTTAGTCACAACCACAAAAAGAAGGCAGCGAGCGTGCAATAATGCCCGTCTCCAATGCGAACACCGTAGAAGCTCGGTTTTTGGATTTTCGTGTAACTCTTATAATATCTCAGATATGGGAGTAGAGACCAAAAATGCCCCAAAAAGCCCACATTTCCGAAGCGCTGAAGCGTCTCAACGGGAGAAAGGACATATCGTGCACGTTTTTGGCAAAAAGATAGTGGGGTGCGAAGTGATTTGCGACAATCGATGAAACAGCAGAATGTGCGTTCTTCTGCTTTAAAGCGAAAACATCATTACTCTGCAAGTGTTAGTGGCCGGCGTCGACGTTCAGAATCCATAAAAGTTAGCCATGCAATGTTGGGACGTCACTTCGTAGCGTATGTGGGCCTGCAGGGGGAGCTCTTGTTGCGCGCCAGTCTATTTTCCAAATTATTTTCTCTCGCTTGTAAATCCCGAGCTAGCGGAAAATGTGGGTTGAGGCGGCGTCCAACTTAGTCTCACACATCCTCGACAATGCAGTTTTCTCGCAGCCCCAGTCCGCAACGAATTAGACTGTAGTTGACTGACTAAGCGTCCTGAACTACTCACAAAACGGCGCAACCCAGCGAGCAGCAGCGCTGTTATGCCTTGTTTCGCTGATGCGAGATGGAAGCACACTGTTCATATGTTGTTTGAGATCTCCACTTCGAAGCAGTCAAGTCAGGCAACTGGGATATCCGCCCACATCTGATCATTACCGTGGGTCTACGACAGCGAGCGCTGTATCTTAGGCAAGAATCGTCAAGGCCCCTCCTTACATGAAGTAATGATGCTGAGACAGGCCTGCGACTGGTCTCTAGGGTCTTAATCGAGGACGTCAGAAGGCATAGAGACTATCTTCCAATCGAAAAGCAGATCAGCTCGTGCTGTACTAGGTGTGAGCGCAGCCTGAGACGGCTAGTGAAAGAGACATCGAAAAAAAGCGTTGGACTCCGAAGCCTAAAGCAAACGGTCATGAGTAGAACAAAGCAGCACTGGAGACGTCAGGAAAAACCCTCAAAAGCAAGACGTCGCCACGGAGATCAAGGAGGTTGGCAATTCTGAGAAAAGCAGCGAACTTCAACGAAAACGCAGAACGTGTGGATGCAGTGTAAAAAAAATCTACACAAAAAGGTGAATATTTGAAGGGGAGTAACTTGGCAAAAGAAGTGGAAAATAGAACCAACCTTTTTGGTGTGGTCCGAAACAACATCAAACTTTACTTCACGATCCGTTTCAAAGGCCGTGAAAAAGATGCAGCAATGGTTTTCATCCTCGGGAAATCTGAAATGCCTGAATTCACCCTGGCGTTTTGAATGTAATAAAGGATTAAACAGCTGTGTTCCATCCTCTTTGCAATTATTCCAATCCATTTTTCAATAAGAGTTATCATCGAAGCTAGACGAAGCATGTCAGCAAGGTATGAGTTTTGCCGCAGTGCCTCCATCGATCATCGCTACTTAGCGCTTCAACGATTGGTAGGTGAGGCGTTGGCGCAGCACAAATTCCTGCGCGCCACTGACACGCTCCCGACTGATTTTATAATGACCACTGCAGATTGAAGTGTTACTGCCCCTTGATGGAGTTTCTGGAATGTTCTCAAGTGAAAACGTACCGGCTGTAGTCGACGTTACAGTACGCAGAATACCGGAACACCAAACGGGCGTACGCTCGACCTTCGCTTGTAATCTCCACATCAGTGAGTTCAGATGAGCACACCGTAATATCCGTACAGATGCTAGAAATTTTAAGATATCGTCCTTTTCTGATCAATGAATGGATACCTTTTCATGCGCAACACGTCAAGAGCTTGATTTATAGTTTTGTGCGCTGCTGATGATGGTGTCAGTGAGGAGGGGTTCGGCCCGGCGCTAATCTGTTTTCCAGAAGTCGTTGAAGCGACTGGTGAAGTGCAGATTGTATCGTATCGGTCGTATCAGTCGTTTTTTCCCAATTATTGTCGTCTATACGCTTCAACAAGTGGTGCGGAACGGGGTACCGTCGCGCCAGTCCCCTCCCCCTGACACGCCAACATCCGCAGCGAACAAGACTGTTATCTCATGAATAGTGTTATCGATGGTGCCTCAGATTGTGAGCATTGCCTCGAAGTGAGCCGCCCAATCATTCTGGGTAGCCTTACGATTGAAAGTTCAATGTACTACCACTTCTACCTAGATC